TGAAGGTCCCCGAGGTGCTGCTCTCCGGACAGCTGGTGAATGTGACCTGCCAGGCTCCAGGGACCTGCTCTGGGACCCCTCCCCAAATCACCTGGTCAGGGGGGTTTGACTACACAGCCAGGAACGTCTGGGTCGCCCTGGCGAACGGCAGCGCCTCCTATAGCTCCGTGCTCAGCTTCACGCCAGCCCCGGGGGATGACGGCAAAGAGCTCGTCTGCACCGTCACGTACCCCGCCGTGGTTGGGGTCTGCACCCGCAGAGCCATCCGGCTCCAGGTCCACTGTGAGTGACCCCATCCAGCTCCAGCGGGGGGGTGAGGTCTAATGGCAGGAGTTGTGCTGAGAGCCAGGACTCCTGGGTTCAATCCCTGGCTCTCGGAGGGGCGTGGGGTCTAGTGGCAGTGGTTGGGTTGAGAGCCAGGACTCCTGGGTTCAATCCCTGGCTCTGGGAGGGGCGTGGGGTCTAGTGGCAGTGGTTGGGTTGAGAGCCAGGACTCCTGGGTTCTATCCCTGGCTCTGGGAGGTGCATGGGGTCTAGTGGGGGGTGGGCTGAGAGCCAGGACTCCTGGGTTCTATCTCTGGCTCTGGGAGGGGCGTGGGGTCTAGTGGGGGGTGGGCTGAGAGCCAGGACTCCTGGGTTCTATCTCTGGCTCTGGGGGGGCGTGGGGTCTTGTGGCCGGGGGTGGTCCGAGAGCCAGGACTCCTGGGGTCTATAGGAGGGCACTGGGGTCCCAGCAGGCAAATCCCCCCCACACATCTCATGGCCCGTTGCAGACCTGCTGGAGCTGCTGCCACAGGGGAACTGCACGGTGTGGTTCTGCGGACCCAGGGGAGCAGCCACGTGTCACTGCGCAGCTGAGGGGAACCCCCTGCCCCGCCTCAAGTGGTGCTTGCCCAACCGCACCCTCCCTGGGGACTTCGAGGGCCCTGAGCTGCGAGCAACCTTGTGGGCGTGGGTCCCGGCCGTGAGCGGGGAGCTGTGGGGCCCGGCCGGGGCCCTGGCCAACATGTCCTGCGCTGCCACCAACGCCCATGGGCAGAGCCAGGCCGTGCTGCCTGTTGTGACTACAGGGACCGGGGACCGGCGGGGGCTGGGCATGGGATCCAGTTTTGCCATTAGCTAAAAGCTGTGGCCTGTTCATCTTCAGGCAGAGATGTATATGTGAGGAAATACGGTGCTATGTGCCAGCCACTTAGACAGATGGCAACTCACGTATAAGTCACACAGTCCCCACCTGCCCCTTTCACCTCTGTGCCTCCCTGGAGAGGTGGGGAAGGGGGCTCAGTCCCCATGGCTAGGCCGGCCCTCGGCCACTCTCCCGCTCAGGGGACCCTCCCCCTACACCGTACCCACCAGTTCATTACAAGCCCTGAAGGGCCCATCGCCGCCCAGCCGATCCCACCGCTAACACCAGCTGTTGGTTTGCAGCGGGCTTCTCCTGGACACTCGTGGTGGCCTCGGCGGCTGGTGGGAGCCTTGTGCTGGTTGTTGCCGGGGCTGCAGTGGCCTGGAAAGTCATGAAGGGAAGGTAAGACTCGGGTGGGAACAGAGAAGAATCTGGTGGGAACTAGCCTGGAATGGGGGAAAAAATGGATCCCCCAAGATCAACTATCACTTCTTGGAAGCATGAAATTCCACCTGCCGCCCCTCAATCCGGACCCACAGCCCCCTGGTGTGCCAGCCCTGGACTCGCCCCCCCAGCTCTGCTGGTGCCCCTCACTCCCAACCACAGCCCCTGCTAGGCCAACCCTGGGCTCCCCCCACATGCAGCTCTGCTGCTTTGGGATGGCGGTGGGCGGATATTGGGATAGATGGATCCGTGGGTCTCATTGGGGCAGGAGGGAGGAGGCGGGACACCAGGCTAGATGGGCCTAGAGGCAGGATGTTGATGATGGTTTCACCACAGGCAGGGCAGCAGGGGCCCCGCCAGGGCCGGACGGTGCCAAGGGACCGGAGACAGGCAGGTCTGTAACTCCGATCAGCAGCCAGCGTCTATGGCGCCCTCCCACAGACAGGTGGGTTCCCAGCCCTCCAGCGGGTTATCCCAGACCCCCCCGGTACCTACCCCATCCCCCACCCTGATGAGATCCCCTTCCCCCGCTCCCAGAATCCCCCTCTGCTGGGATTTCCCCCCTCCAGCACCCCCCAATGGCATCCCCTCCCATCCTTTCCCTGGGCATGGCGGCCACTTCTCCCAGCTAACCCGGTCTCTCCCCACACAGGACGGCACCGGGGAAGGAGGAGCACTTGATAAGAAAGGGAGAGGAGGAAGAGGAGGAGGAGGAGGAAGATGCTACAGGGAGAGAGGTGACAGGGAACAATTCACAGAGGAAAACATCTACGCCAACATCTAAAGCCAAAGAGGGGGACAGGGTCACTGCAGGGAGTGAGATAAATAGAGACTGGTGTCAGAAGTGGGATAACCAGCCTGCCTTGTGGCTAAGGTGCTAGCCTGGGACGCTGGACACCTGGGACCTATTCCCAGCTCTGCTACGGAATGGCTGTGTGACCCTGGGCAAGTCCCCCTCCCCTCTGTGCCTCAGTTTCTCAGCTGTAACATGGGGAGTATATCACTGCATTTGGCTACTTACACTGTGAGCTTGTTGGAGATGGTCTCTCGCTGTGTGTGGGCAGCGCCTGGCACAAGGGGGCCCTGATCTCAGCTGGGGCAGGGACTGTCCTGGGCTGTGTCTGGGTTGCGCTCATCTCCCCCCATCTCAGCCTGGGCCCACTCTGCTAATGCACCTGAGAGGCAGCTACTGCTCCAGACAGAGTTATGTGGAGCAGGTCGGCCTGTGTTAACCCTTTCACTGCTGCAGCTAAATAAAAGCCATTCCCAGCTCCTCCCCGGGCTGAAGAGTTTTATGTTGCCTCGGTTTCCCTCAGGGGTTCCCCTCGCTCTTCGAGCCGCTCAGCTGTGGCTGGACACTCACCACCCAGGCCCAGGGGTACGAAAGTACTGGGAAGAGGGTCATGATAAACAATGCCTGGTGTTGCGATGCAGCCACCTCTGGGGTGGGACAGCTGGGGAACAGCCCTACAGCAATGCCACGTGGCTCAACCAGCTCTGAGATGCAGCCACCTCTGAAGTGTCGCGATTAGAATGGGGAGGGGGAGGAGCCAGGACGCCTGGGTTTTCTCCCTGGCTCCGGGAGGGGAATGGGGTTTAGTGGGTTACAGCGGGGGAGGGGGGAGCTGGGAGCCAGGACTCCTGGGTCCAATTCAGTAACTATGACGACAGGCTCGTGACTTTAAAAACCACGTTTAATGTCCAGTAACAAAAAGACACAGCAGCAAATGGAGGAATAAATACAGCGGGTGCAGGGCAGGGGGTGAGAGGCAGCAGTGCTGGGGGAAGAGGGGGAGTCTGGGCTTTGCCGCACCCCCTCCCTCCCCACAAACCCCATCCCCCATCCCTTCAGCCCTCCCCCACCCCTCCAGCCCTCCCCACACACCCCGCCCCCTCCCTCCAGCCCTCCCCACCCATCCCAGCCCTCTCCCCACCCTCCATCCACCCTCCCCACACAACCTGCCCCATCCCTCCCCACACGCACTCCATCCCACTCCCCCATCCATCCTGCTCACTCCCCACTCCATCCTCCCCACCCCCATCCCATACCTCCCCCCACCCACCCATTCCTCCCAACATGCCCCATCCCATCCCTCCTTCCCCATACACACACCCTCCACCCCTCCCCACACCCCATCCATCCGTCCATCCATCTGTCCATCCTCACACACACTCCTCCATCCACCCCTCCCCGCACGCCCTGCCCCATCCCTCCATCCGTCCCACACACTCCCATCATCCATCTAGCTGGATCCATCTGTGGAGCTTGTCACGGACACCCGGATCGTGCCCACTCTTGGCCCCGTACGATCCCTGGGGGGACCCCCCTTCAGTGCGACAGCCCTTCTCGGGGATCCACTCTCTCTCGTGGTTAGGCCCCTCCACCTCCTGGAACTGCACCTCTCTGAGCCTTAGCACGTCTGTCTCTGCCGGGGGCCCCCTCAGAGAGTCCACTCTCTCTGGACCCCGGGGTCTCCACTCCCAGAGGGAATAATGCCACCTTGTTCTCTAGCCCGGAGCGACTCTCAGCCAGTGTAAAACAGGAGGTTTATTGAGCGTCTGAACCCAGCACAGGAAACTCTCAGGGCCTCAGGCCTGGCCTCCCTCAGCTCAGCACATCCCACTCTCCCCTGCATCCAGGTGGGCTCTGTCTTCTCCTCCTCTCCAGCCCAGAGCCCCCCTGCTTCCCAGTTCGGCATTTGATATCACTGGCCTCAAGCCCCCTCTCTGTCCTTTGTCTTCTCTCCAGGTAAACAGGGTCGCATGGGCCTCCTCTCCCCTCTTCTGTCCTCTGGCCCCTCTGGCTGGAACTGGTCGGTCAGGTCACCGGGGTCCTCTCCCCGCAGCCCATTGTCCTTCCACTGGCCAGAACCGGCTGCGACTCCCGAGCTGGGCCTCCCGGTCACCAGGTCACCAGTCGCTGGGGTCTCCATTCTCCAGCCATTGGCCGGGGTCCCAAGTTCCCTCGCTGGTCCCCTGTAACAACAAACTCCCTCTCCCATCACCTCGTTAAACCAGTAACACCCAGGGAAACTGAGTCCCACCTCCTCTACATGCAAACCATTGGAAAACCAAGGAAAAAACAAGAAAATCCCCCACTTCGTCAAAGGCAGCTTATTGTGGGGCTGCACGTCTCTGTGAGTAATTATGGTAACTAGGGCATTGCTCAACCCTGAGCCAGCCAGATTCTGCCCCCCCCTCACACTCCCTGGATGGGAGCTGGCGCCCCCTAGAGGGGAAAGGCCCCATATCCCATTCCCTGCCCAGCAGCAGTCCTGGCTCCCAGACCCCCGGCTCTAAGCCCCAGACCCCACTCCCCTGCCGGAGCTGGGGAAAGAACCCAGGAGTCCTTTGATGGACATGTGAGGGGAGACGCGGGGGTGTGTGTGTGTGTGGGAATAAAGTACCAGAGAGGAGTCTTTGAGAACAGGATCTTTAATCTCCACGGAATAAGGGCGGGGGGGGGGGGTGGCAGAGGCCTCCGCGGTAGGGAGGGGCGGGGCTCATTGCTGGTCCCAGGACGCTGCAGGCTGCGTCCGGCCTGCATGGCACCCGGCCTCATCCCCGGGGCCAGCACGGGCCCCCCACTCGGCTCTAGGAGGATTGGTGGGCGACCAGCGTCACCACACCTGGGGGAGAGAAGAGAAATGGGCTCAGAGCAGCAATGGGACCAATGGGAGCATCATCTACTGGTATGCAGCACCCCACCCCAGAGGTGGCTGCATCTCAGCGCCGGGCGAGGGGTCCCTGTATAACCAGCCCCCGTGCCCCACCCCAGAGGTGGCTGCATCTCAGCGCCGGGCGAGGGGTCCCTGTATAACCAGCCCCCGTGCCCCACCCCAGAGGTGGCTGCATCTCAGCGCCGGGCGAGGGGTCCCTGTATAACCAGCCCCCGTGCCCCACCCAAGAGGTGGGTGCATCTCAGCGCCGGGCGATGGGTCCCTATAGAACCAGTCCCCGTGTCCCACCCCAGAGGCAGCTGCCTTTTGACACTCCCCGATGTTGCACTCACCAGTGATGAGGAAGAGGGGGAAGGAGGCCCAGCCGAGGCCGAAGGACCAGCCGAAGGTGACTTGGCTGTGGGCGGCATTCACGGCCCCAGCGAACTCCCCTGTGTACATGGCCAGCGCGATCATGGTGCAGAGCCCTGGGGCAAAGGGAACAGCAAGGACACCCCTCAGTGCAGCCCACATTCAGTCCCAGCCCCTGCCCCGTCCCACCACCAGGGGGAGTTGCCAGAGCCCAGGGCAGGATTCGGGGAGGGGGGAGGCTGGGGCTCGGTTCCCCTCGGCTGGCTGTAGTGGGCGGGGGGGGGGAGATGAGTTCCTGGGGGAAGGGGGGACGTACCTGCGCTGAAGCTGCCCAGGAAGGAGAGCAGGGTCAGAGGTAAGGAGCCGAGGTGGGAGCGCAGGAACGAGGCGAGGAGAGCGAAGGAGGAAAGAAACCCAGCGATCACGCCCAGCAGTGTGAAAGCCCTGGTGACCTTTAAAGAGACTGTAGCAAAGGATTGGGTTAAATAAACAACACTGCACTGAACTGGTTAGAGAACCCAGGAGTCCTGACACCCAGCCCCCCTGCTCTAACCACTGGCCCCCACTTTCCTCCCACAGCCAGGGACAGACCTGCCCGATGGTGCTGGCTGGTGGCAGCGGTGGGTTCCCTGGTGGAGCCGGGCTGCCCTTACCTGATGCTGAAGAAATTTGTTCACACACCGAATTCTGGCAGCTCTTCCACAGCCCCTCATGGAGGGACCCGAGGTGGCTGGTGGCCACCAGCCAGTGGTCGGAGCCCAGGGCCACCAGCAGCAGCAGGAAGCTGAGCAGGGCCAGGACGGTGCTGAGGATCCGGGGAGACGCCATCATGTGGGGGGCAGCGCTGGGATCCGGGAAGCACCTGGGGGTGGGGAATGAGTCAGGGGCAATCCCGGCCCACAGCAGCAGGGCTAAGCCAGAGCCCTGGGGCCTGGGCCTCAGGCAGCACCACAGATGGATCCAGTTGGATCGATGATGGGTGTGTGGGGGACGGCTGGAGGGATGGGGCGGGGCGTGTGGGGAGGGTGGGTGGATGGATGGGGTGTGTGGAGAAGGATGGATGGGGTGTGTGAGGGGAGGATGGGAT